GGAACTTGGATTTAATCCCATCTCTGCCAGTTATACAAAGTATGACCAAGTGTAAGAACCTAACCTCTGTAGGCCTCAGTCTTGTCATCCGTAAGATGGGGTTATTATGGTACCTGCCTGAACCAGTCACTATGAGGATTCGCAGAGAGAATTTATGGAAAGCGCTCAGCAAAGTGCCTGGCATGTGGGAAACACCAGGAAGTAAAGACCATAGTGCTGGCTTTAGCCTCCTGACATGGTCTCAAAGAGGAGGCTGCCTTCAATCATCTGATGATGACAACACAGGTACCATATTCTGTTCACCGAGAGGTGGCATCAGAGGTGGTATTTCACATAAGAGTTTCCCGCACCTTCTGCACATCCCTAAGTCAGTGTTACCGGGGCAAAGGCAGGCTCAGAGAAGTTGTATGATGTGCCCAAGAGCACACGGGTAGGAGGAGGCAAAGAGGAAGAGCAGGGCCCAGGCTCCTGAGCTTTTGCCAAGGAGAAGAGGCCATGGCTCTTTCCAAGGTTTCTGAGCAGTTCTCCAGTAAGAAGGTCCTTGGCCCAGGCCCCCAAGACCACAGCACCCAGGAGTGGAAGGGGCTTTGGGAATCCTCAAGGCTGCAGAAAGAGAAACTTATCCTCTTCCTTAGGCCCAGAGGGATGTGTTTCTGTCCTCAAGAGGACGCAGAGCACCCCTATTCCACTTTCCAGAAAAACTGGAGCTATCATGGTAGGAAGGCTTCTCTCAGTAGAATTTGGAGGACCAAAACCTAGAGGTGCAGCCTTAGAAGACCCACCTCCTTGCTTCATTCCGGCCACAAGAACGAGCAATCTGTTAGTTCCAGCTTGCACAATGGGGCTTGTGGTGGAGCTCAGGCAATAGGAGATGTTGACTGCCTTGTGGCCTAGTGTGGGGCCTGAGACCCTGAGGTTCCTTCCCTCTGTTCATGTTACTTTAGCATTCTCTCAGGAGGCTTTTTTGTGCTGCAGTCTGTGAAATAGGCAGTGGTTTCAGGAGGCAAATGTCCTTAGGCTGCTCTCCCTATGCTGTACTAGTATATGCCCAGCATCTAGGATGCATCCACAAGGTCCATGTTCAAAAAAATGTCAAGGTGGAAACTCAGGACAAAATAGATGTTTAAAACTCTAGAACTAGTGCCCAGGAGGATAAGTTGCCCTCTGCATACCCTCGGCCACTTATAAGTTATGTGACTTGGGGCAAATTACTATCCCTCTCTATGTCTCACTTTCCTTAATAAAATAGAGATGACAATGCATATCCTACCTGGACTGTTATGAGGATTAAATGAGGGAAGGGTGCAGGGCTTGGCACCCAGCGTAGTTTCAGTGAAGGCTGATTCCCTGTTCTTCATCCCTTGTGTGGGGTCGCAGCAGACAGAGCACAAATGCATGGCAAAAGATGTCGCCCGTGAGTGGCCAGAGGCAGAGCAATTCAGCCCTCCAGCCAAAAATCCACAAGATGGACCAGAAATTCAGCCATTTATTCTGTCACAGGAACTCAATAACTCCTGGTCTAACCAATGCTGAGCTCCACATTGGGGTCTGAGGACACAGAGAAAAATGTGATCCGTCACTGCCTGCCTCCAGGAAGCTCAGAGACTTGTAGGAGGGAATTCTACTCGATGGGATCAGTGTGATAGAGGGCGGCAGAGCCCTGGGCAAACCCTAGAGAGATTCTTAATCCAGATTAAGGTGGTCTGGAGGAGCGGGACGCCTGGACTAAATCTGAAAGGATAAGTAGGAGATGAGTAGGTGAAACTAGAAGGAGTCTAGGTAGAAGACTCAGCATGTGCAAACATGCAGAAATGAGAGAGGCAAGAGAATACATCATGGGACACGGGGTTGGGGTTGCGGCTGGTGTCTGAAGACAAAGACAGGAAGGCGTCTATTTCACATGCAGGGCAGCACAAAGATGATTGCCTAGAGGCTGGTGACCATCTACCCTAGACTACAGCTCATTTTGATTTCCCAGGAGATCCTAGGTATCTGGCACTGCAAAAACCTAGTCCTCCAGCGGACACCCGCATGGAAATGCGCGCTTCCCTGTGGAGGCCTGTTGCTAGGCAACAGGCCCCACCCTCGCGGTCGTCTGAACTCTGCCGGCTCCGCCCACAACTGCTGCTCGCACGCCCTCCCCTGGCGGCCTACTGTAAGTACATCCGGCGTCAGGGAATGCAAACCTTCCAGAACGTTATCCTGGCTCACAGCCAAGATAACGGTCTGCCATTTAGGATGAGCAGTCCTGCTCCGGTTCTGGTCACTGCCTCCCATCCTTTCTGCCTGAACCTGGCTGCCTCCACCCCTGCAGAACCTAGGCTGGGCCAGCCAGTGAGGGAGAGGAGGCTAGAAAGGTGGGCAGGCAGTTGGGGCTGAAGGTATGGGTCTTTATTCTTAGAGCAGGAGGGAGCCATGAAGGAATGTAAGCAGGGCAATAACATATGCAAATCCGTTTTCTATGCTCATGCTGCCGCTGGAGAACAGCTTGGAAGAACAGGGTATTCAGGGAGCAGTTTGGATTCGAGAGCCCATAGGAAAGGACAGAACTTGGGGTTCTCGCCAGGGGTAAAGAAAGAAGGCAAGCCTACCACCCTGACCCAGAGTTCGTTTTGGAACTTTCAAGAGTTCAGAAAAGATGCAGATCAGTCTCTGGAGATTCATCGGATCATAGGCCTTTTGGAAAACTGAGCAATCCTCCCCTTCCTGGAGTCCTGTGGAGATAGACCCTTACAACAGGGCAACAGGACATTGCTCTTCTCAGCAGGCCAGAGCTTCCTATCTCAAACCCCACAGGCTAAACATCCTGTTTCCTTACATTGGTCTGGAATGGTCACAGACTGTATCATACCTGTGTGATCAAAAATGGAAAAGCTGCTTTATTAATGCAGCTTAATTTTAAAAAAATATCTTTCAAAAACATGGGAGTCTAGGATAAAACAAAGTGATTAAAAAATTTTTTTTTAAAAAAGGGGGCTGATCCAGCCCCACCTAACCATACTGACTGGTCAGGGGTCCAATGAGGGCAGGGTGAGTGAGGCTAAGTGGAACCAGATGCCAGGTCTTCTACCCCACGCACCCCAGTGCTTCAGCATTGTGGCCCCAGGGGTAAAACCAGCGTTGGGGTGGCTGATGGCTTCAGCCTCTAAGCCAGGATAGTCCAAAATCACTGCATCAAGACCGAAGTCAGTGCAGACCTACAGGCCTCAGCATGCCTACTTTAGACCTGCTTCAAGAAGTTTGTAAAGCAGTAACTGAAAAATTCCCATAACTGTACCCCAATGCCTTCTAACAGAGCAAGCCCAGGCCCTGGACCCCCAGTCACCACACTGATGTGGAGAGAACAAAGTATCACGCCTCAATGATTCTCTTGCCACCTGTACTAGGAGGATGCTTGGACATTCTTGCCCACTGGCAAGACAGGAAGCAGGTCAGCCTGTTCTCCCAGGTGCCGGTCTTTTCCTGGACAGAGAACAGGATCCTACTTCTTGCCATGGAATCCTTCACTCCAGGTCTCCTACCCTCTTTACGCTCCCTAATGCGAGTGCCTATCATCACCTCATTCTTACCCTTTAAGATATAGTTGAGGCCATGACTTCTCCCAGGCTTTCTCAGACCATCCCCACAGCCACTCTAGGTAGCTCTCTCTCCGTCCCAGTCCCAATCCCAATCCCATTGTTATTTGTCTGTTTCTCCTACTAGATTCCACACTCCTCACAGGCAGAGCTGGTGATTGCCAGGCTGACTCTAGTAGAGACATAGGATAATTTTTAAATAAAGGAGCCAATGAAACCAAGGGAAGAGCCTCCAAGACCCTAAAACAGCAGAATGGGACCAAGCTGTTTTTCAAAACTATGTCCCTTTGCAGGGACCAAGAAAGGAGCTGGGGAAGGGAAGTGAAATATTTACATTTTGTGTCTGAAGCAGATTTCCTTAAGAGGCCTCTGTTTCTTAAAATAACAATAACAATGGAAGTAAAAAAATCTACTAGCCTGGCCTGCGCTGCACCTCACTTAACTGAGGTAAAGGTTGGAGGAGGAGTGGGGAGGGACTCGCCTAAGCCAGGACATCGTAGAGGCAAGACAACAGGCCACAAACCCAGGCCCCCAGCTCCCCGACCCAATGTTGCCTTCCATAAGGATTTAAAGAGAGAATAAACCTTCCACAAAGATTTCTGCTGCTCATTTTATTTCAACAGTCAAATGTCCCCAGAGAAGAATCGGTTGACATCATAGGTGCTTTGGAAGCACCATTCTATTCTCTGAGAACTGCATCAGTGCTTACAAACAGCCTACTTTTTTAAGTTGGCAATCACTATAAAAACATCAAACAGTCAAACTTCAATAGATTTTTTAAAACCAGAAATGATGCCTGAAATGGCTTAAACTTTATGGAGGGGAGGGGAAGCAGCCCCAGTGGTCACGATGCTTACTTAGTAAAGCCCCTTGGGTAAAGGGCGAGGGGCAGTGGTCAGGGAGGTAGTGAGAGACTGGGCAGCAAGGAAGAACGCTGCAGAACCTGCTGTCAGTGCCATGGTCCTGGCTGCTTGCACTAGTCACCTGGATGTGCTGGGAGCAGGGTGTTTGTGCTGCCCCCAGGTGGGGACCAGGCAGAGACAGAAGGCTGAAATAGATGGTATCTCCTGTCCTGGAGCAGGGCCTGAGGAAATCAAAGAACGCCTCTGGGGGCAAGTCTGATAAACAGCAGCAAACCCAGAGATGGTTAAATTCATTCCTAAACGTGAGCTTCCACCAGGCTCCCGCTCCTCAGAGCTCTGGCCCACCCCCTGCTAACTTCATCCTCCATTCTTCCGTTCAAGCTCACATCTCAGGATTGAGAGAAACTTAGAAATCACCCTCCTTCCTCCTATCTTGAAATGGGAATTAACTCCATCTTATGCCTATCACCATCCTCCCTCCCTACACATCACTGAACACAGACAAGAAAATCACTGCTGTCACACCCCCAACGCCCCACTCTGCTGGCCCGAGGGCCCGGGCCTAGTCGGACTGCTCCTGAGATGATGCCTGGCTGGGCTCACATGGCACCTCCACATCTTGGTCATCTGTAAAGACAAAGAAGAGGAGCTGAATTTAGAAAGAGGGAAAATTACCTATTTTCAGATGTAAATTTTCTACAAGCCATTTTCATTGTTCCCAAGCCCAATTTTGCCTTTAAATTGTTAGGTGTCAAGAGGCTAGAATTTTAGCCCTCACCACATGATACAGGCTCAGGTTCAAACTCCAGCTCTGCTTGTCACAGGCTGTGTGGCATGAAGCTATCCCAAAGCTCTGAACCTCAACTTCTCTGTCAAATGAGATAAAACCTACCTTGCAACATCAAGTCAGCATGCGTATGAGGTGAAACAGAGCCAAATCTCACTTAATGCCTTTATTGTTTCAGGTTTTGTTTAATCTTCAAAATAACCTTATGAGGTAGAGACCATCATGAGTTCACTTTTGCAGACACTGAAACTGAGGCACTAAGGAGTGAATTAACTCTCCCAAGGTCACAGAACTGGTAAGAGCTGGAGCCAGGACTTATACTCAGGCTGTCCAGAGCCAAGAAAAGTGTGCTTCAAGCCACACTGGACCATCTCTCCAGCTAACAGATCTAGGCATCTCATACACAGCAGGTGTGCAACAGGCCCGTTTCCTTTTCAGTAAAATGGGAATGACACCGCCCAACTAAGCTAGCTCATGAGGTTTTCCTAACAGTCATTTTAAAGACTCTGCTGAGTTTGCCAACTCTTTCCAAAGGAAAATGATTTCCTGAAGAGCCTCAGGGGAGGGTTGAAGGGGAAAAAATCTTTGAACTTTTAAAGCTGCAAAAGGCCCTCATGAGAAAACCCAAAGCATTTCCACATTCAAAATTTCAGTTGACCCTCACAGTAACCCTGTGATGGGCCCATTTTACAGATGAGAAGACTGAAGCCTAGAAGAGGGTGTGAGTGCCAAGATCACCCAGTGGCAGAGCTGCAAAGGACAGTCTCTAGCTCCTGGTCACATTCTCTCTCCAGGGTGGCCTGAGCAGAGGCATTTTCTCTACCAGCTCTCAACTAGCTCCTGCTGTAGCTCCAGGCCCAGCATTTGCTGCTTCCCCAGCCTCTGTTTTGAGCACACCACACGCATGCAGTCCTCCACATCTTTGCCTACTGGTGAGGGATCTGGAGCCGGACAAAGAAATCTGTTGAAATCCGAGCTCTGCCATTTACACCCATGAACCTCTCAGGGTTCTGTTGGTTTCCTCACCTGAGAACAGGGGCCCTCCTCCTTTGATGCTTGTGTATGGAATTTAGGAGGGGGGTATAAAGAAAGGGCTTATCCCAGGGCCTAGCACATTTTAATCCTATTCTCCATTTTCTTCTCTCCACATCTACTTCAGATTAGGCCCCCTTTCCTCCAGGAAATCTTCCTGGCTCCCCTGGAAGCTGGAAGTCTGGTGTTCACTTACCAGTGGTCTCCTTATCCGTATCAGACAGGATGGTCAGTGAGAAAGATGATGGTGGTGGCGGCGGCGGCAGCGGTGGGAGGAAGTGGAGCGCAGAGAGGAAGCCTGGCGGGAGAAACTGGGGCTGCAGCGGCTGCAGCGGCTGCGGCGGCGGTGGTGGCGGCGGCGGTGGGTAGTAGCTTGGCTGGAAGTCTCCCATTGGCTCTGACACCTGCACAGAACACTCAGCAGAGAAGTCGAAGAGGGGAGAGGGTTAGCCAGATGGGCTGATCAAATAGGTCTCTTTCCCCTGAATGGGAGGCTCCTCATGGAGTAGATTCACCTGTATGGCCTAAACACCTGGGCATAGGGCACCTGGAATAGGTATCCAGCAAACACAAGCCAAATGATTGAAGGCAAGAAGGAATACAGGCACATCTCAGGAAAGCCTAGGGAATAGCTGCACAGTCATAATGACTGAGCCCTTCTGTCTACGCTTAGATCCATTACCTTATTCCATCCTTACAACCCTGGGAAGGAGTTTCTCTTTCCATCCTCACTGTAATGATGAAAAATAGCATCAGCAGGATGAAGCTACAGGCCCAGGGTCACAGAGCTGGTTAAGTGGCTGAGGCAGAACTGAGTCCCAAGTCTGTCTTACTCTACTGCTCCCCACTGGGAAAAGGTCCTACTGTATACCAACCATTTGTGGTCCCATTTTCTAGCACATGTAATGACTTAGACTCAAGGGTCAGGGTGCCTTTGGGAGCCCAATTCTAACAGAAGACCTGGGTGTACTGCAGGTGTACTGGGTCAGAGAAGCTGGCTGACCTCAGGAAAGTGGCTTTAGCTAGCAACCCTTCTATGCTTCTGTTCCTTCTTCAGAAGATGGAAACTAATGCATACCACAGGACCCCAGGGATGGAAGGAAGGGATCTGGAGGGGTGATGACTGCACAGCTCAGAGCTTAACTGAGAAAGACATGAATGTAATAAAAAAAATAATGAATTTCATATGTAGTTCCTGTTATTTACTTCTGCATCCAGATACTTCATAGCAGCACTTCACAAGCTGTGTTCTGGGGAACGCTAGCATCCTATGAGATATTTTTAAGTGCTCTTAAAAGTGTTCTTTGTCAAGGGAGTTTGAGAAACCCCAAATACTGCCCCCACATTGGTGAGTCTTGCGTGAGCATATTAAAGCCTCAAGGCAGTCCTCAAAAATCTTAGATTAACCCAGCATTTCCTAACTTAATTTGACCACGGAGGAGAAATCCCACTTTTATGTACCTACTTTGTGCCAGACCCTGTGCCAGGCACTTTACTTTACATGCATTACACCTTATTTAATTCATCAACAGCCCTAAGAGATAGGTACTCTTAACTCCGCTGAAGAACCTGAGTGAGGCTCTCAGAGGTTAGGTGACTTCCTCAGGCCATATGACTAATGAATAGAGGTAGGACTGGACCCTATCTGTCCAACTCCAGTTCTGTACTCTTCTGTAGGAAGAGAACAGAGGAAGCAAAGAAGCAGCAGGTACGACAGGAACAAGAATAGAAGGTGGAAGATGTCTCTGGGGAATATCTTAGAGCCTGGGCAGGGGGCAGCAGGACAAGGATGAAAGCAATTCATAGTCTCTTGGGTTTGAAGTAGCTTTACAAATAAATGCTGGATCCTCTATCCAGACGTGAAGTGGGTGGGAGGGGCGATTATTAGTGCTTTAATTCCAAGCTGCTCAGCCAAGTTTCTCCCTGGATCACAGCTCCTGCCTGGGGCCTGTGGTGGCAGCTCAGGCCCAGATAAACCAACTGAGATCACACTCTTAACAAAGGCCGTCTGGCAGACCTGTCAATCAGAGCCCTGAACTGGACGCCAGGCTCCAGACTTCTGTGTGAGCAGACGGTGGGTACACGCTCCACTTGGCCAGGACCACTCTCTTTGTGTGGAGAATAGAGATGCTATGCTCTCCCTGAGCTGCAATGGGTGTCCAGCACCCGTGGATTTCAGGTGTGTGTGGTGGTGGGAGGGGAGTCATGTTTACTCTACCTCTGAGAGAAGGCTTAGGGTAGGAGAAAGCACCTGGGCTCCAGAGTCAGGATGACCTTGGTATATGTTTTGGCTCTCTCACTGACCAGCTATGTAATCTGAATCCCAGTCCCTCACTCACCTGTTCTATGACCTTGGGCAAATACATAACTTCCCTGAGCCTTCTCTCTCTACTCTATAATGGGGTAACAATTGTACCTAGAAGGCTCACATGAGGGTCAGTAGGCATCCTAGAAATCATCAAGACCAGTGGTTTTCAGACTTTTCCACCTCGAATCAATGGGAAATGATTTATAAATAAAACTTTACAATATTTAAAACAGACAAAAGAGATGCTGCTGAGGCTGAAGCAGGAGTGGGGATCCAGCACCCAATGTGACCTGCCTGGACACAGCTGGAACCCCATCATACTGGCTCCATACACTGTGGCTAATGACTCTCATTATGTAAATGTCAAGCTTTCATCTTTCTTCTTAATCGCTTTCACATTAAACCAAAGAAGCCTGCTTTCTCCTCGCTCTTCTCCACCCTCCACCCAAGAGAAATATCTCTGTAACACCCACAGTTAGGCTTTTAGCTCTGAGGGAGGGAGTGAAAGTAATGGTGGCCTACATTTCCATGAACGTTAAGCTGTGTTTGAGCCAACCTCTGCCACAGATCCAGCCTTATGGGGCCAAAGTCAGGACCGGTCACCCAGGTCTTTCACTATCTTGCAGTCCTGGTGGCCCTCTGGGGTTGCCAAAAGGGAGAAGCCTTTTAACCATCCCGGTTTGGAAGGAGCTGGTAACCAAAACCACAAAACCTGGTCACTCTGGCACACAACAGGGATGGCCTGACTCTTACACACTCAATATTGAAAACTCTGGGCTTAAAGAGCATACCAGTTAGTGACTGACCACTGATCTTATAAAAGTATTAAATTTCATTTCTTCTTTCAACATATATTTCCTAAAGTGACGGCTGTTTGGGGGAAGGTTTCCATATTTTTCATGACTAAGTTTAAATACCAGTTCCTTCCAAAAGCCCTCTGCAGTCTCGAGTGGGCCATACCACTGGGTGGGGATCTACGTCTTCTCCTGGCTACCCTAAACTATATGGCTCCAGGAGAGTGGTCCTCCCTTTCTGGTACCCAGCAAAATGAAGGGCCCTTCTAGCACCAGCATGCCACTCTGTTGGTGTTGCCAGGCTTACCTGAGATGTGTCTGTATACCTTTTTTCCTAAGCTCCCAGAGCCTGTTAGCCCACAGCTCTGAAAAACATATGACATAGTCCAGGCCAACCTATCTACACATGACTGGACTTGCACACACCGTATGAGGTCAATGGGCCTGCTACAGAGTGGGCACACCAAGTGGCTTCCTGGGATTGAGAAGATGTAAAGGAAGCAAGAGCAGATGGGATAAGGAAGAACCCAGAAAGAAGTCAGGGTGGAACTCACCAAGCCTCCTCCATGGTAGTGGCTGCAAGACACATGCCGGAAGCCCCGCTGCAGGGGAATCCCCGGGGATGGGGATGCATCCTGGTACCCCAGCGAGAACGGACGATAGGCATGCATGTTGGTGCAGCTGGGATACAGCTTGGCAGGCTCTCTCTCCAGGTACTCAGACCCCACTGCACAATCTGAGCTGATGCTCAGAGAGAGCCCTGAAAATGCAAGCAATGAGGGCAGTTTTAACACAAAGAGCTAGGAAAAAGTGCATCGCATTACTGTCCAAAGATAGCGGTAGTAAACACTCAGATCCATTTACATAGAACTCCTACATCCATTATGACCCTCCCTGCTTTTTAAACCTTTCAACCATATCCCACTGCTCTTAGGAAAAGTCCTTGGCACAGCCATGAAGCCCCATGTGGCCTGGCTCCTGCCTCCACTCCAGCCTCCTCCAGTACCATAACCTAGCAGTTTCTTCTTTCTCATCCACCTCAAGGCCTTTGCAGATGCCGTTCCCTCAGCTTGGAAGTCTTTTTCCCCTAACCCACTTGGCCTCAAGTTCTCAGTATTCAGCTCCTATTCTTCCTTCACACCACAGTTAAACCATTATTAGAGATCTATACACGGATTTGTGTGATCTCTTGATCAGTAATGCCCTGCGCACAAGGACAAGATCTTTGAGAGCAAGGAATCTTACTTTTCATCACTAGTGTCTGACACATGGTTAAGTGCTAAGGCCCTGCTTGTTGAAAGATGGAACAAAGAAAGGCACTATATCCCTGGAAAGGGATCCTCCTAAGATTGTTGTTTCAGGCCTGTCGGCACCGTCTAGTTCCCTGGGGAACTAGATTTTCCTAGAATGCCCCATAAGGCAGAAATGGCCGTCAGAAAGCATCCAGGCCAATCTCCTTAGCAGAGGGGAGAGCGCTACAGAAGGAAGAAGCTTTCCTAAGGTGACAGAGTGAATAGCCCCCAGCCTCTGACTCAAACTTGTGCTCTTCCTACCACACTCCATAAGGAAAATCAACACACATCTGCACTCGAAAAGAGCCGTTGTTTAAAAGCCTCAGATCTACACAGGACTTGGAATTGTACTTAATAATGAAAGCATAAATTACATTGTTACATAAGGAACAATGTAATTTATGCACATGGTGGGAGAGGAGAAAAAAGAGACATCTCAAGGAACCAACTTTCTTTTAAGTGGAGCAGAAAGGCTGTCCAATTCCCACCCACGCCCAGGGAACGAGTGCGCAGGCGCATTGGGCCACAGCATGGATGTGGGGGTTGGTCACCAGGACGCAGAAAAGAGGGGTGCGCAGGCGCAGTCAGAGTTGAGAAAGCACGTCCACAAGGAAGTCCCGGGGAGGAGCCTTCAGCACAAGAAAAGAGCGGGAAGAGTCGCGCAAGCGCAGTAGGGCCAATCTTCCCCTTGAGGAGGCGCCACAGCTAATCCCGCTCGCTGGGGGCCATTTTTTTCTTGTAAGATCGAAAGGCAAAAATTGTAGCTAAATGTTGTTAAAAGCCGTCCGGACCACCCGTCCTTTCTATCTCTATCTTTTTGCAAAAAAGGCACTCAACCCAAATCCACGTTCAGAAAAAAGTTTCTCAAAGCAAGGTTACCTCTGGA